GGTCGTAGCAGCGCCTAAAAATGAACATCAAATCACATTTTGAGATTTAGCAGAGTAAAAGTTTCAGGAACTGTTTTAATAAATTATATATTTTCTGCTGCTTGTTTCCTGAAGCCAAGAATAAAAAAAACATTAAACACGTTTTCTTTGTTTTCACAAATAAAGTTTCCTGTTTCTTACATTATTATCAGAGATGAATCGATCTGATATTAATATCCTGAAATCTAAATTCCTCATAACAACATCTGACTGAACTTCGGCGCCGTCGGCCGGGTCAAAACGTTCGGGTCACATGGTTCATCACACGTTTCATTTCTGAATCCAAAACTTTCCCAAACTAATTTTTAAACAGTTTTTGGACATTTAAGTCAAACAGATTTGACTGAGTTGGTTTTAGCTTCATGTTGTGTAAATCATAAGGCGCCTTTATCTTCTGACCCGGCGGTGTGGAACCGACAGGAACTCCAGGCTCTGTGCAGCTGATCTTGGTTCCTTTATTCTGGTTGCAGTTTCCAGTCGGACTCGGTTTTAAACCTCTCTGGTGTTTATCTGTGGTTTCTCTCACACAGTAACTCTAAAACTGTGGCCCTAAAAAATCCATTTTAGCTTATGTCGCTTTCTATTTGTGCCTAAATTCTTTTTTACGTCTTTAAACAAATGTTAGATCCTAAAGAACAATGTAGAGGAGAAACCTAAATTTAATTTTATGAGACCCAGTAAAGCAAACCCATTGATGTTTCTTTGTTTTTACAGAAAGATTAGGTTGAGACGTGGCGTTTCCAAAGGAGTTTTTAATCTTTTAGATAGGAATAAAGTTTGGGAACTCTTTTCTGTTTTCCAGTCTGGCAGCCTGGGTAAAATCCCTGAGGGCATTGTTGGAATAACAGCTCATGAAAATAGAATGAAATCACATTTTTTATGGGCATTGGTGAAAAAGTTGAAGGTTACTGATGTGAAACCACAGAGACACGGCTATCCGGCCCAAAACGATGACAGAAGCACCAGTTAATCCCAGTAAACAGCCGGCTGTGGTGATGCCCTCTCTCAGTCGGCTGTAAACTCTCTGTCCTCTGATTATATTCATGTGCAAATAGCAGCCTGATCCATAAACACCCAGCGCCAGCAGAATGAGATGTGCAGGCTGCCGATCAAAGCGTTTGGTAATAATAACCCGTTTTCCCTAAAAAGCTCTAATGACTGTTTTAAACAGCAGCGCAGTAAACACATCCATCACAGCGGCCGCGGTTATTAGTGCAGCTCGCCGCGGCGGTTTGATGCCGCGTCGTTTCTGCAACATGTAGAGACGGAGAGCCGAGTCACAGTTCATTCGTCTTCTCATTTTTCTCCCTGATTCATCACTCATCATCATCGCAGAAGCTAAACAGCGTCCGGCATCCCGACAGCGGCTTAAAAGCACCGCTGACAGAAACAAACGGCTCCTCTCCTGATGGATTCTGGTCAAATGACACGCAGGGAAATGACAAAGAAGAAAAAGTTGGGAAAAAGAAACAGTCAGCAGAAAAAACGGAGCTGAAAGAGATGGAGCTGCGCTGTTTTCTACTGACGTAAAGAGCCATCAGTCTTCAGCTGCTGATGTTCCCATCAAGCAAACATCGATACGTATGTATGAAGAAACAGGAGAGAGGGAGAAATCCAGAGGTGGATGAGAGATCGACAGATAAAACAGCAGCAGCCTGAAGGTGGGATATGGAAATAATTCATTTAAATATCCTGATTATTTTACACCAAAAACACACAAAATGCTCCTGCTGCGTCTCTAGAGGCGAATAACAGATAAAATCTGAAATATAAGGAGATAAGCAAACACCAGTCAAAGCTGAGAGCTGTAGAGGTGACGTCACACTGTGTGTGTTTCTGTATGTGTCGTATTTTCAGGCGAATAAGTCGCATAACTCAAAAATGTGTCATGAAGAAAAAACTTTTATACAAACAGCAAAATTATGAGCAAAAGTGGAACTTATGGTCCAGAAAATACGGCATTTACTTCATAGAACAAGTTTCACTTATTCACCAACAAAACGACGTCATTTGTTATTTAATTTCTCTTTGGGTTTAATAAAGTATTTCTGAATTTGAACTGAAAGAGGAGACATTTTCCTGGTCTTTCCTGTTTGGTTTGGAGCTCTGAGGAGAAACGAGGAACGTTGAGTTTAATGTGGTTTCAGTTTTACCAATAAGAAAATATTTCATCTTTTCACACATCTGCATCAAGTTACTATGAGAAGCTGGAGTTTCAAACAATCTGAGCAACGAAGGTGAATTTAAAAAAACTATCACAGACTACATGAACATCAGATCATTAACTATCAAAGTTTTTTACTCATCAAAACCTTTTACTAGTAATTTTACAAATCTCCTCTGCTAATATTCTGACTTTATTCTAGTAAATGTCTTAGTTTGGCCCCATCCAGCAGTCAGGCTGAGGAAGGTGACAGCAGCAGGTCGTTTCTGTAAATCTCTGGTTCCTCTGGTTTGGTTTGATGATTAAACTGAAGTCCAGATTTCCGAGTCGTCCTCAATAATCTAAACATTTAAAGAAGAAGCTTCCAGATGAGCAGGTTGGGAGTGTTGGCGCCGTAAACCCTGTTTGCTGAACACGGAGGCCAAACTGTTCTGCAGACTGACTGCGGACGGCGGAGCCGCTCTGCCTGGCGGCTGCATGAATGTGAGGGATAATGCAGCCTTGGAGCTGCAGGACTCTGTTCTGTTTGGCTTGTTCAGCTGAATTTTATCTGCTCCTCTGTCCCATAAAACCTTCCTATTGACAGGCAGCCCCCGATCGACCCCTCCGCCCCCCTGCATATCCAGCCCACATTTTTCTTCCCTATGAGTATTAGTTTATTGAATAAGTGGCATCTGTTTTCCTGGCCCCGTCACCGTAAGGCGAGGTATTTCTCACTGACGCGCCGCCGTGATTTATACGCCGCTCTGACTCTCCGCACAAAAAATAAAGCTAAGCAAAAAATTTCCAATACATCCTCCAACCCCAACACACACATATAGATCTCATCTTCCTCCATCCATGCTGCACATAATTAACTTGGCAGATGTTATACAAACTCAAACACTTTTACGCTTTCTCCGCTCGGATCCACACACTTCCACACATAAATGTTGAGATGATGAGACAACAGAGATGGTACGTTACAGCAGAAGACTCGGACTTTCTCTGAACAGCTACGGCAGCAGTTCAGGTCCAAATTCACCAGAACATCACCAGGTTTCACTTACAGCATGCTGACTCATTTATTATTATTCTTTCTCTGAGCCACAATCGTGCATAAAAACAAGATGATTAACCAGAAAACGAGTCTTTGATTCTCACAGTCAGGAAATAAACGTAAAGGAGTGAACAGAGTTTACAAAAACAGAAACAAGTCGGAGGTCATCTGACTCAAATAGCGTCTTGATGCCTTCATGAAGTTAAATGTTACATTTTTTAGTGTTTCTGAATGAGAAACAAAAGGTTTTGTTCAGCAGATCTCACAGCAGGAACCGTTTATTAAAACCAGAAACGATTGCAGGACAAAGTCCTAATCAGAACCACGTGTTCACTGGCCAGCAGACAAACAGCTGGGAGTTGCAAACTAACGTTATTTACATTATTTGACTGTTTTCTGGTTTGGGTGGAATCGTCCAGGGAGTTTGTCACGTGAAGGAAGGAAAAAGCATCAGAGCCGAGGATTGATGAGTCACTGAAAGCAACAAACAAAACCTCGTAGTTTCTTACATCAGAGAAGAAGAAGGCAGGCGGACCCGTCTCCTCTGCAGAACCCCTGAAGAATATCTGCGTCCCAGCAGGGAGCGAAGCGGCAGCACAGATCCAACCTGAAGCAGCTACAGACTCTGACCACTGGTCAATCTGCAGAAACAATCTCCTCCATGTGGATCTTCTGTCTTTCATGTTCAACCAGTCAGCTGTTCATCCGCAGACAGACCAGAACCCAACACTAACGATTCAACAGAAAATCCTCCAAACAGCTCAGACACGTCTGGACAAAAACGTTTCCTCCGTCAGGAGCTACAAGCTGCTGCTGTTCCCAGAAAACTCAAATCAGAAATCGATGCAGCCAGGATGTTTACCACTGCAGGGCCACAACTTTATGTTGCCTCCAGAACAATTTAACCAAACAGCCTCAGTAATTAAATAACCAGTCAAGTAGCAATAAGCCCTTACAGTCCAAAATCAGCATGTCACTTTGAATCTTTTACAGCTAGCAATCATTTTGGGTTTTTATGGACTGCAGCTTGGTTTCCTCCTCTGGACTTCAGGCCGTGTTCACACAGCAGAGCCTGAAAAAACCAGTTAAAAAAATCAGACTTTCACACAGTGGAACTAAACTGGATTTAACTGGATAGTTTTCAGAGTCTGCAGTCAGAACCGTCACGTCACATTTCATCCGACTTTTACGTCACTGCTGTGAGACGTGCGTCTAATTCTGCAGCAGAAGAAGACAGACGGTGAATCTGGACGTAACAATGGCTGAAAATTACAATGATGAAGCTATGAAAGCAGTCTGTGTCAGTGAACGCATCACATCCCAGCCCACCTCTCCTGGTCCGACTCCACATCCAGTCAGACGCTCCACTGTTCTGTTAGCAGGCTCTCTTTTTATCAGCTTCATTCGTCTGGTGACGATCTGGAGACAACAGGTTTAAAATCCACCCGTCGGCGGCAGCAGCCATTATTACAGCCGTAAACAGAGCGCCGCTGTAAACCGTCTGACTGCGGCCGCATTTAATAATCAGCATGAACAAACGCAGAAAATAAAACCTGAATTTCACACAAAAATGTGAACGTAGTGAAAGATGCACACAGACAAACTGAATAAGAATAAGCATAAAGATGACGAATGTTTCAGACATGAGAGCCACAATGATGTACACTATGACTAGTGTTATCTGTCTTATCGTCTCAAAGAATCAATCTACCGCTCAGATTAGTGTCACTAAGCCTGATCACAGTGATGAACTCTGACCTGTCGGGGTTCTGCGGACAGACGTGCATCTGCAGCAGGATCCTCTGGGTGAAGGTCTTGAAGCACTGGCCGCACTTCCACAGATGCCAGTCGCTGAACTCGCTGCTCAGCTGGCTGGTGGAGGTCGGGCTCGCCAGAACCCGCTGGTTCTTCGAGCCCAGCTGGCCGAAGCCGGAGTCCGACTGAACTCCGACCCCGACCTTGTCCAGCAGCGAGAAGCTCCGGGAGCAGGGGGAGTGGGGGAAGACCATGGAGCGCAGCAGGGCGGCCGGAGGGGAGGAGGAGGAGGACGATGAAGACGAGGACGGCTTGCTGTTTTTGCTGAAGGACTGGAGGGATTCCTGTCTGCTCATGGCCTCCACCACTGTAGCTGGAACGTTGACTGTGAAACAACACAGGATAGGCAGCGAGGTCAGCTGAGGCCGCATCACCAGGTCAGAATGACGTCCCATGATGCAATATGGCGTAAACAACAACATGGTGTAAGTGTGGGCTGACAAACATTAAATAATCCGCTTCCTGTTTGTGGAGCGGTCTCTGGTCCGCTTGGCGTTCACATATCCATTCAAACCGAACCAGAGTCGCTTCAACCAAACCGAGCTTTGTAGGCGGACCAGGGTTCTTTTTTGGTTCGAATACGAAACGAAGCGGACCTTCAAGTTGGATGAAAGTGGACTAAACAAGGCTGGTGTGAACTATTAGGATATATTTGGAGTGTTTTTAGTGGAGGTCTGAGTATTTGTGAATTTTACATTTACTGGGGTTCCACTGCAGCATTAAATTAAAACAGCACAATGAAACGGGATCCAAAGTGTTTAAATGAGGCTGTACTTCCTTCTTTCACTCACCAGAAAAATATTTAGTTTTTCACATGTCAGAGTTTGTGAGCTTCTAGACTTTGTTCTGGAGAAAACTAGCAGCTAAATCAACATCCAATGAAAGGCTCAAATGCTTTAAAGGTTTTCTCTTTCTTTCTTGTTAGTGGTTTTGGGCCTCAAGTTTTTAACTGATTCAAACTGAAGGGCTTCTGGATACTCTTACAAATTTAAAATGCTAAACAAATCTTTACAAAATGCACATGTTTGATTTATTTACACATTGGCGTTTTATTCTCTGAGAAATGTAGCTGCAAATAAATCCAGCACCAAAACATTCAAGTGTAATCAGTGTGAGTTACTACGCTGAACTCAGCCTGAACTTTATTTCCACTGTTTGGTGTAATCATCCTTTGTGCTCTGAGGTTTTATCCACTCCACCTAATTCTACTTTTCCGGTTCTGTTTTTCTTTGCAGAAAGAAATCTGAGCATAAATGTGGCACGATAAATAAATTAGGCAGATAAGAAGCTCAGATTAAGGATAAAGTGTTGCTGACGAACCAAACAGTCGAGTAAAATGAAAGAACAGGAAAGAAGACGTTGTATGGAAGCGTGTAAATGAGATTTGGGGCGAACCAGCTGATGCCAGCTGTCCTCACTCGACCCAAACGTCAGCTGCTTTGTGTTGTGAGGTCTGACCAACTGACAGATCTGGACTCCATAACCCTTCATCATGTTTGAATTGACGTTGGGATGTCTGTTTTTGCTTTAAGTCGCTGCGGATGGTTTTGGTTCTGTATAACTGGCTTGTTTGTGAAAACGTGGCATGTGGTCTGGCTCGGTTCCCCGACACCAGAAACAGACTTTGTTTCCCATCATCATTAGTCTGATGATGACAATGATCCCAAACCTTGACCAACGTTTTCTTTTACTTCTCTAAACTTTAGCAGATATTGGTTATGAAGGCTCAAACTGAATGTTGTGGATTATTATGGAGTCTCTGGACAAACTTTTTTTTGTTTTTTAAATTGAACAACCTGGAATCAGTTGTGAAGAGAACCTGCTGATTTTAGCACTGAAAACCAAGGAAGGTAACATAAGCAGTGATTAGTTGAGGTTCTCAGTTATGCTGCTAATTAAATGTGATCTGTGTGAACGGTTCATGACCCCGAAGCGACCCGCATGCGTCACCCAGCAGCGGTAATAATGGCCGATGGATTTTTAAAGTCTTCAGGGCCGACGGCATCGTCACCAGATCAGAAGAAGACGAAGGAAGTTAAATGAAAGAAAGCAACGGCCTTAGTGGAGCGTTGACTGCAGTTTCTGCAGAGAGTCTGTCTGGATGTGGCGACGGACCAAGAACGCCAGGGTTGGGATGTGATTCACTTCACTGACTCAGACTTCCTAAATAAAATCATAAATATAAAAACTACAGCGGATCCCTGATGTTAGCAGAGGTTAGGGACAGTAGTTGCCACAAACACCTGATGAACACACCTCTAAAAATGCTTAAAACTGCCTAATTATTAGTTCAAATTTACCTTAATATGCATTAAAATGCATTAATGCGCACAAAGAAAGCCATGTACACAGAAGCTACCATCCACAGTCATCTTAATCTCGGCTCTTTGAGGTTCAGCCAATCAGTAGTAAATAAAGCGACTAACTGGATTAGGGTATTTACAAAGCAGCATTGCTCTGAGGAGTTTCAGCTTTCTACACTGAATTTTCTTTGTCTTAGATATGCTCTATAAAAAAATCCTTGAATAGGTGAATTTTCCATAAATAATTTAAGAATTACTTTCCAGGGAAAGATCTACAGTCCACTGTAGCTCAAAGTTAATCATCTTTTCTATAAATCACCTCAACTCTAAGTTACATTTTCTGTAGAGAAAAGAGAAAAAAGGACAAATAAAAGCTGGAAGGCAAAAACAGCTTGCAAATAAACATCCTGTCCCTGTTGTATCTCTTCACTCAGAGCATCATAACCATTTTCCATCCTTCATCAGCTCACCTCTGCCATCAGGCCACCAGGCCTCATTGATCCTCTAATAACCTTATGAGGAGATAATTACACCATTTGTAAGTCGGCCGACGGCTCTATCGACGGCCGCGTTTCGCGCCGCTCGCCCTCTCTTAATTCATTTTCCTACAAACGTCGTATTTACAAAAAATGCGAGTCGATATGTTTTGGGTTGTGAATGAAATGCATCATCAGAATGGGAGAATTATGCAGATGGAGTTTGCAACATTGCAGAGTCTGTAATTTCTTCCTCTGGATGTGTGTGTGTGTGTGTGTGTGTGTGTGTGTGTGTGTTCTCCTCCAGATGGGTGTGACGTGAATACCAACGGTCTCGTTTCTTCAGGATCACAGAAAAGTTTTAAAAGCAACTTTTTCCAGCTGATGGAGAGCAGGAGATGGGTGGAGCACCACCCTCTGCTTCCATATCAGATTCAGCCACATACCAACAGCCTTCGTCTCTTTGTCATGAGAACCATGTGAGGATCCTCCTGTTTTATGTCAACATGACTTTCTTTTACACTCTGAGGTTCAAACATCCGCCAACAGCAGATTATCGCTCTTCAGAGAAAAAAGTTTTAACCTCAAACCTCTGGGGTATATTTTAGATTAAATCATCAAAGAAACAATTTGTAGCAATAAAAGTTTTGGGACATAATTAATCCATAAAACTAATATTTTATGAATAACAGAATAAAAACATTCATTTTCAGAGATAAACGTCAAATATTTTTCATACTTTTCCTTTAACTTCTGAACTTTATCATGTTTCTTTTAACTGAAAATCATACAGATGCTTGTGAAAAATATGATTCTACAATGTGCCAGAGATTTAATCAAAAAATAAACAATTGCTTTGATTTAAGTTAGAAACATGTCTGACCTGATTCATTTGGTAATTTGTGAAGTCTGTGGGAAACTTGCAGGTTTCCTGTCATGAAGGATCCTAATTACCCAGAGTAACTGGGAACAGCTGCTTCTAATTTAGCTGTTTGACTGAACAGGTGAAAACTGCAGATTTCTGCAGGTTGTAGCGAGTCGAGTTCAGAGAAACCTGCAGCTGATCGTTCTGCCTGCTCACCTCTCAGCAAAGAGCTGCAAGGACACGACTGAACGTCTCCAAGTTTCAGAGGAATTCATCAGTTCAACTCTGTATGAAAAATGCAAGACCTTCTCACAGAGGCTGGGAAACTTACCGACAAGGCTGACCCTGAGAAAGGTGAAAGAGCCTAACCTGCAGAGTGGCGGCCATGTTGGTGACATCACCTAAAGCTAACGTTCCAGTGGACGCTGCATACGGCTGATCTGCATGGATTCAGACCTGGAGGAGCTTCAGACACTAGCAGCCTGTTTGGCCTTTCTAAGATTTGGGCAAAGAAAAAGACTTCTTCTCTAAAAGTGACCAAAGCTTTCAGTTTCTTTACCTCCTCATCAACATTCAGGTCCATCAGTCTCATCCTGTGAAAACGAACAACCTTGTTACTCGCTCCTTCAAATAAACATCTTCTACTCCTGAACGATGTATAAAATTAAACGGCGAATTGTTTAAACAGATCAATGCTTCACCTTAAAGCACCTGGAATGGAGCAGCTCCGTGACTTTTTAAAACTTTCCCATCGTGTCAAACAGAAAGCATGAACATCTGTTCCAGGTGAGCCTCTGTTTAAATCAGACGTGTCAGTTAACCTATCAGAGGTTTCCAAAGCTATGACATCATCATCTGAGCTTTGCCTCATTGTTTAATGAGAACAGTTCAGTATGTAAACTTCTGATTCTGAAGACAATAATAAATAAATCTCTGACATATTCTTTAATTATTGTGGCACTGATTCTGACAGAAAACAGAATAAAATGTTTGTGTGTCTTTTTATTTGCTGCATGTAAACTTTTGGTTTCCACTGAACCAGAAGTTGTGGATGGAATGAAGACGATCCAGTAAATCCAGAAATATCCTTTACCGCACAGCGTCAAACCAGACCTGTTACAGTAAAACAAACCACAACATGTCACCTCCCTCCATCCTGCTGCCACCAAAAACACTGACATACCTGACCCGCTCCACCTGGGCTCCACCTGGACCACAGACCGACCCGCTCCACCTGGACCACAGACCGACCCGCTCCACCTGGGCTCCACCTGGGCCACAGACCGACCCGCTCCACCTGGACCACAGACCGACCCGCTCCACCTGGGCTCCACCTGAACCACAGACCGACCCGCTCCACCTGGACGGAGCATTCTGGGTTGTTCTGGTTCTAATCCACGGCCTCAGACTGACTGAGTCAAGTCATTTTGTTCCCTGTTATTTATTTACAAGTTGTTCTTTGCAGGGTCTGTGATTAATTAATCACATTTTAATTAAAAACTATACATCAACAAAATAAGCAGCATTTTCAATTCAAAAATCCTTTTTTACGAGTTTCTGCCAACTACAGTGAAGCTGTTTGAACGTCTAACTTCCATTTAGACTAAAACTACTGACCAACAGCAGATTATCTGGTTAAACCAACTGATTAATCTGAAAACTTCCCTTCATTTGCTGTTCAGATCATTGCTGAAGCTTTCCTGGTGATCAATGATCTACCATTGCCATTAAACATTTAAATGCTCATCTAATCGATGCAGACCATTCTAACAACAGACATATTTCATTTTTAATAAAGACGAGATGTGAGGTTACTTTAAGCAAGTCAACATAAATGTAGTGCCTCTTTGTCTAACCAACATTTCTTCTCATTCTCCAGATTTTTCTGCACCGTTCCTATCAGAACCTTCCTCACAGCGATAATAAACACTGAGGAAGACGAGGTGGAAAAGTTTGAGTGGAGAGGAGGAAATGAAGTGTGTGTCTGTGGACATGTTGTTGTTGTTAGCAGTCCGCTGGGCTGCGGAGCGTCAGGCCGACAGACTCTGATTGGAGGGAACGTTTTTCAGTAAACAACCACAGGGTGTGTGTGTGTATGTGTGTGTGTGTGTGTGTTTCTTTCCTGGGTTACAGTGTGGACCGGTGGATTTTATTCTCGTTGTGTTTACAGGTGAAGGTGAGTTTTGATCAGTTAATGAAAGATGTTGAGATTAAATCCAAACTAACATGTTTACTAGTTTATTGTTAAAAATTAACTACAGGATTTTCACATTTCTATTGAACATTACATTTTGAATCTGAATTCATTTGTGAAATCCAGCAGACAGGGAACTGCTCAAAAACAGAAAGGAAGCGGACTCCATCGCAAGGCATTCTGGGTAAATACAACCAATACAAACACGAGTCTGGCGCTAGCAGGAGAAATGTTCAGATTTTGTGAAGAAGGAAGTTGCACTCAGTGTCTTCAGAGGGATTTATGTCGTATTCTTTCAGTGGTTCTTGGTGCAGCGCCCCCACAGGCCGGGAGGGGAACAGTTTCTACAAGGGGTTTGGTTGGTTTGGTTGAAAACTCTCTAATTAATTGGATCTTTAAGCTTTTTGTTACCAACAGTCTGTCATTATGGGGTTAATAAAGTATTTCTGAAGTACATTCATCCTGGTTTCAGTTGTGAATGAGATCTTCATGCAGCAGGTTTTGGATTCATCTGGTTGATGAGGGATGGGAGCTGCTGGTCTGGGTGTGTTCAGTCGGCTCGCTCTGCACCGATAAGGGTCAAATAGTTCAACGTCTCCTAACCCGAGGACACAACAACGCTGTCCTTCAGCCTCCAGTGCCACAGTTAAACATGGACGCCACAATCAGCAGATAACGATGCCAACCCGAGAACAATGCACAGCTAAATGCAGATAGTAGCAAAGTGTCTTTAATTACGACCAGAGTTTCTGGTTTGTATTTGGTAGAAAACATGTAATCTGATTTAAGCTAATTGGGACGTGAACAAACCTTTGTTCACTGCAGGCTGAATCAATGTGTTGAACATCTCTTTGTGTAGGATTTACTTTGTACTTTCAGGGACTAAATGTCTTCACATGGACAGAGATGATTTAAAATCAGCCTACAGTCTGAATGGTTGACAGCTTTAATTATGTCCGTTTCTGAGTTGTTTTAACTTGCTGACGTTTTCCACGTCTCAAACTCTGACAGCAAAGACATCAATGTCAAAAGGCAGATGACTCTGGATTCAAACCCAGAAGAAAACAAGCTGATTTCTTTCTGCAGGACAGGAAATCGACGCTTTTTAACACAAACAGAACAAACAAGAGGCTTCAAAGTAACTGAGTGGAAATCAGTAGAAGAAACTAAATCCTCCCATAGTAATAAAGTAATTTCATCTGGTGAGTTGGTAAAGTTGCACAACAATTCGTAAAATTACACGATAATTAAAATGGTGAACAAAAACTAAGTTAGTCAAATGTGGGTTAATTTCTGCTCCTACACTGATCTGATGGGACGCTGGAAAAGATGCATGTTGTGTTCAAGTTGTACCAAAAGGAGTTAGCCTGAAGCTAATCAGGCCTAAAACAGCATCGCAATGCTTAACATGTAGCAGCAGCACAGATGCTAATGCTGTCAGTGTGCACATTTAAAAAGAAGCTCCATGAATAATAATGAGTTTCTGATTAAACATGATTGAAGAACATAAATACCAGATTAAAAACTATAAATATTTTTGTTGTAGACCTCATACATCCACTTTTTTCAATGATTTAGCAGTAAAAATGTTTTTTGAAATGAAAATGTTGTTTATTTTGTCTACTTTTAACACAACACCAAGATGGAGAGACATCAGCGATGTGCAGAGAAAGATGCAACTGATTTTCTGATTGGCTCATTTTAAATGGCTGAAGGTAAAAAACTCTTCCAGCCAAAAACAGCACAATGCACACCTCACACCAAGTATCAGGCACGGAGGTGGAGGAGTGATGGTTGGGGTTTTGTGTCCACAGGACACCATCAACCTGACTACAGGCTGTGAAATAAAGTTTTCTGGGTCGTCACCATCACACAGATCCCAAACACAGCAGCAAAATGGCTTAAAAGGACAACAATCAAGGTGTTGCAATGGCCTAGTCAAAGTCCAGACTTCAACCTGAATCAGGTCAGAGAGCTGTGCAGAAAGTGGCCATTTCAGACGCATCTAAAAAGACATTAGTGGGTTTTTAAATTAAATAGAAAAGAACCAAGATAACCCAAACTACTGGAACCCATTAATGAAAAGAGCAGCCATGTTTGGCTTTAAAGAGACACTAACAATAAAGACAGGAAGTATTCGCTCCTTCAGAGCGTTCCACTCAAGGCAGCAGCTCTTCTTCTTGTCCCTATTGCAGAAAGAACACGGTGGAATGTCGGATGTTTGTTTGTGTGCCTGTGATTATGTTTACAGAGGATGCCACAGCGCTGTCATGATGAACAATGTCATGTAAAAGACTCGTTTTGTCTGTAATGCAAACCAGCTTGTGGCCAAACGTCTCTAATTTGCAATCAGCACGATCTCGTTTCAACACGGCTCTGTTAAAGGAGAGTCTCTAATTCAATTTATTTCAGTTTAGATTCCGCAGATTAAAACCTTCTTCTGCTCCTTTTTCCCTTCGAGTTTTTCTTTCTAAATAATTATGTAGAAAAAAAAGGCAATGTTTGTTTTCCGCCTGCAGGGAGTTATTCTGTAAGATGTACAAAAAAACGTGAATATAAACAAGCTGACAGAGCAGAAAACTGGGGGATAGGTAAACAAAAAACAGAGAAAAGAGGAGGAGGAGGAGGGATGAAGAGGAGGAGGAACAGGGTGGAAGAAAAGAAGAGACAGGTGACCAAATGGGAAAAAATATATATTTAATCTAAGATAGTCAGAAATATGTCACCGAGGAGGTTTTAGCTATAATTTGTGATGCTTCTTGTTCTACAGACAAACCTAAAGGAAGTTATTATAAATGAAGAGAAAGAAGCAGAGGAGCTTACAGATGTGCTTAATGCTTTTGTGACTTCAATGTTTTTGTATATTTGCTTTTTTCCTTTAGAAAAATTAAAAAGCAGCAAAAATCTGCAGCCAAATCCAACTTTTCCATTTCAGGCGAAATGAAAGATAAAACTTTTGTTTTCCAAAATCAAACTGGAGAAAGAATTTCATGCTTTTATTACCTCCCACCACTATTATTGCTTTTCTTCACTGGTCGCCTACAGCTGGTGCAAAACGTTTTTCTCCTTTTGATAAAAACAATAAGTCTAATAAAAATAATTCTGCTCCATTTTATCTGCCTGACCTGCTCATTCCCTTAGATCTGAGAACAGCTGCTTTTCGTTAGCCAGCCATCGCCTTTTTACGCAAATCCACTGGGCTAGATTCTCATTTCCCTTCACTGCTCCGTCTGGGATTTCTCCCATTAACTTGGATTCCCTCAGGTAGATTTTTTTTTTTTGACCGGGCCAATAAGCAAACAGAAAGAGAAGCTGTGAACAGTGATGTTGATTTTCTGCTGTTTTAGAATTTCAGTCTGCTTGTAGTTTTAGCAGCTGCAGTGGAGGAAGTGAAGGATTCAGACCATGTTATATTAACATCAGTGTGAGATGCTGACTGTTTGCTATGCTTAATCTGAAGCACTTTGATCGGTTTTGATGGTGTGTTTTTTGAGGTGCTTTGCAAATAAATTTGGTCAAAGTAATTATTTTTAAATTAATGGTCGTTCTTCCTACCCTCTGTTATTCTCTCTGAAACACTGGATGCTAACATCTTCTTCTGTGGTTTAGAGTTAATCCAAGTGTAAATATTTATTGCAAAATGTTACATAGACTTAATAATTTCACAGATAGTCAACGCGTCTAGTTAGTTAATTTAAAATGTGCTTCTAATTTATTCTGTTTCCAAGTGGCTGATTTTTCTACTATTTGAACTAATAACTGCAGTGAGTTGTGTGAATGAAGCAGCAGCATTAAAGGCTGAGACCAGAAGAGTCAATGCAAAGGTCTTCAACCAACAAACACAGGTAAAGTTAGAAATGTCTCCTCACGGTTTTCGTCCTGAGCGATGCACTGCAGCGGGATGCCGAAGAAGGACGTGTACGAGTCGTTGTACCAAACCAGCAGCTCCGTCCCTCTGGGGATGTCCATGCAGGCTCTGTAGAAGATGCACGACCTGCAAGACAAACACACAAACGCTGACTTTTTATTTTATAACTTGTGTCTTTACTTGTAAGCATCTGAGGGAAATCATGAGGCAGGCGGCGGACCAGACCTCAGGTCCACCAAAAACAAATGACTCAACTATTCTGCACAGGAGAAGATGGGAGACGGATAAAAACTGAAAGTCCTTCCATCTGATAACAGCTTCAGACCAAACTCGAGATGATTTATGGGAAATATCTGGTGTCTCTCACTTTCCACGGAGCAGCTACGTTTCACCATGTTGTTCGCTCACGTACCCAGAGAGCTGATGGTTCCTGGGTCACACCACCACTAGAATAACACTTCCTCCGCCCAAAATATCATTCTAACAACATGAGCAAAGCCACATTCAAAACCACACTTTTATTTCCAGCACTAACTATTTTAAAACATTTCCCACATGTTTTCCTCTCTCCCTGCTGGCAGAGTGGCAGCCAGAGCAGATTATAGCTGAGAGGTCACAGGTTCAATTCCCACAACGGCTCCCTTATTGTGTCTTCAAGCCAGCAGACTAATTCATTTTTTAAGTCAAGTTTATTTGTGTGGCAGATTTACACCATAAAAACATAATATAATAATCAGCAACAAACATTAGATTTAGTCAAATGCCATCATCAAAATCAAATATCAATGTTCCAGTATTTATGAGTCAAAGGCAGCTTTAATTTCAGACTTGATTTAAAGGAACTCAGTGTTTCGGCTGTTTTGCAGTTTGGAGCATTAAAACTTTTAAGACAACTAAACACTAAAGGAAGTCAAATAAATCTTAAACTACACTGTTACATAAAGCTGTTCAGGTTTACCTGTTAGCTGGCTGAACTGTTACTGAGCTAAACTTTCATAACCTGCTGATTTAAGGAAGTTTATAAAGCCTGATGAATCCTGTTCAGACCAGACAAACTCAAATGAGTTCAATGCATGAGGATCATTTCTACTGAATTACATTAAAAAAGATTCAGAGACATCAGCTGGTGATTATGTAGATTAATCAGGTTAAACTAAATGCTGAAGCATTTTAGTATGAAGCTGAGGCGAGTGAAACAAAAGACAGTAAAACCTCCATGTTTCTTTTAGTTCAGTCTGACATCATTTTCTTGACTTTCTGTGGGGGTGGAGGGTGAGGATTGACGGCCGCTGGAGGGATTTTCTGTTCAACCAGTTTGACTAAATAAGGAACTAAAACTCATTCAAGAAAACACAACAGATTCTGGTATTCTCTCTCTCTGCCACAGAGTTTACATCACTTCACCACAGCAGGGAAACCAAAGCCAGTTCAGCATTTTTACTGAGTTTAAAGATCAAACAGCTACAGTCAAATTTATTGGCATCTGTGGAGAAGAGGTGTAAACTTTATTACTAAAACTACTAATGTGTTTAGTTAGTTCAAAGTCCCATAAAAGATAAAAACATAAAACAAAAAACCATAAAACCAAATAATATACTT